CCTTAGTTGAGAACCACTGCCATAGATACATAGTCCATATCATCACCACGAAAGAAATGGATATAAATCCCTGACAGATATGGATGCCCATACTTTACTCTGAGTCTAATATTGTTTGTTAAAAGGTTAGACTGAATGATTACTGGCTATTTCTTCTTCTGGAAGCCTTTGAGAGGTCTCCTTTGTAGACAGAGTCCTGCATCACCCAATTACCATCAACTAGAGCAAAATCATGGCCAAAATTCCTGGATTCCAGTATTGCACAGGTGGCATTCCAGAAGGATGTGTTAAGCATATACCCTGGGCCCAGTTTAATCCTCGGTTCTTCACTCGGTGTAGGAGTGGCAGTGCAACCATTCAAGGAAAAAAGAAACAGGGTATAGTGAAAAGTCCACCAAATTGAATACCAGTGCTCCCAATCACTAGCTGGGTAACTTTGCACAGGGTACTTAACCTCGCTAAGCCTCAGTTTGCTCATATAAAGTTAAGGTTGCTAGTACCTCCCTCACATATTGTGATCTAGGTAACAGCACTCATTGAGGAACCTCTTGGTAAATTTTATTTCTCCATCTCATTTAAGCTCTGTTTAAACCTTAAGTATGCAATAGCCAGGCCCTTTAAGCAAACAATCAATAGCTTTCAGAAATTGTGTCCAATTGAGGAAGGCCAGGAGATGGTACCCAGTCAGCAGTGAGAATGTTGCCTTTTGAATCCCAGAAAGAAAAAAACATCATAGTACAACATTCCTTAATGGAGAAATATGTTTCTTAACCCTGAGGTGGAAAATATTCTCAAAAGAATGCATTGCCCTTTGCTGGCTCTGACCACTAGACAGCAGGTGTACACTCTGCCATGGCATAAGGAGCCCAGAATATCCCCAGCCTGCAAAGCATCCACTGACTCATTAGCTAATACCTGAAAATACCATCAGCCACATAAGTCCTTTTTGGTGATTGATTTTATCTGATCCTTCCCTGAGTAAAAGTTTGATCATGGAAGAAGAAAGTAGTAGGGAAATTAGTACGGGGAGGCAGTTATGTAATGTGGTCGTGTTTCTGTGTGTGTGTGTGTGTGTGTATTTATATATAGTTATACATGTGTGTGTATAGATGTGTGGCTTTATATACACATGTATGTGTATGCATGTTTGCGTATGTGTGGTTATAAATGGGGAGACAGATAAATAAGTATATAGATAAGTGTGTGTGTCTGTCCTTAAACCTGTCTCAAAATAGTAATATGTTTTAGGAGCCAGTTTTATAGTTATATTCTGGCTAATTTCTTATTATTTTACATTCCATCAATGCAAACCCAAATCAATCAACATAACCACCTGCCTACAGGAGACAATTGATGCTTATTTTGACTACCCATTCTCCAAAACAGATATAATTTCTGGGCCTTTGATAATTTTCTCAGTGAAAAGGTCATCTGCTGACTTTAATTTTACCATAATATGTGATGCACCAGTGCCTGCTTCTACTCAGCCATGGTAGATAGCTAGATAAAATAGCCATCAAACTTGCTGACAAGTGGATTAATATAAGCCAGAAACACAGGTGGCCCCTAATCCTGCCAGTGATCTGTGTGAAGTTGCTTAGGAAACTTGGGAGGAATAACAAGTGGTGTTTGCCCCTCTAATTACTTACACATACTCATAAATGTGTTGTTGATGCTAAATCATACCAAATGCCTGCCTTCCTGAGGATGGGGAGAAAAGGTAAGGCATTCTTAGAAAAGCTTGAGAGAATGTAAGAAATGGTTTTCAAAAACCCATTTCCTTTTACTGGAATAACCTTTCCTTTATGATGGCAACTCTGCAGTCTTGGGAGGATGGGCTACGCTGTGAGGCAGGTGGTCTCAACTCTCAACAGCTAAAGTCTGAGCATCAGGGGCTGCCTTTTCTCTGAGTGCAACCAAAGGATGGGTTTCATTTAACTTGCTCCCTCTGGCCTAATCTAAAAATCTACCAGGGCTAAGACTGGTGTGAGACTGTCATTTGTCATGTGAAAAAGACTTTTTTTCCCTATATAAATATTCCAAAAACCTCAATACGATAGCTGAACTTTAATCAGCTAGGAAGGTACTGCAAATGGAGGGTCAATCCATCACAGTGCCCAGGATGAGACCTGAATTGTGGCCTTAAATTCCTTTCAGATAGCACAGGATAATGAGATTAGCACCCTCTGTGGGAAGAACAACAACACAAAAGAGGTGCTACACCTTTAAAAATTAAATTCCCTTTTAAATGCTCTATAGTTTGCTTAGAGGGGTCAGAGCAAGTTTCTTGAAGCTTAAAGATTAATTAATTTGAGAAAGAAAAGATCTCAAGTGTCACAAAACCTTAGTTAAAACTACCACTTTCCCTTATTGCTGCCTTCTTCCTTTGCCGTTCTCCAGAGCAAGAGGCACATGGGCATGAAATGCTGTGAGCTAAATTCCTATTTGTGTAGAAAACGTATCTGCTTGCCTACAAACACACAACTCGGAAACATGTAGACACACACATGAAGTAAGAATGCAGCTTTTCTATGGCCATAGCATTTGCTCTTAAGGTCCCAGATTGCAGATTTCACTTTTTAATGATCCCTCATGAGATAGACATGGACTTAAGATCTTCTACATACGTGATGGGCAGTGGGGCAGGGGCAGCATAAAACACAGCACCATTATTCTCCTTTTCTCATGGCCACATCGAAACAAGAAGAGTGAAAGAAAAAAGTCTTGGAGATAGGAGATAAACTACAGTTTCCAATATTCACATTTCTAGGGGGTTAAGAGGAACCTGTGGTTCTGATGTCTGCCAGAAAGAGTCTGCTTCTGGAAGCTTTCCCCACAAGCACACCCACACAGCCCTTTAATGCACCCAGCCAGAGCAGCTTTGGCACTGGATTCCTGTAGCCTCCTTATGAGGATGTCAGGTTAAGGAAATCTGAGAAGCCTTCCTTCAACTGCCACAATTTGGGAATTTTTTTTTTTCCAAAAAAGGTATGCTGTCTTTTAGAGGAGCTCTCTTTAATAGGGTTTAATTATAGATATGAGGCACTACATCCCTGGGAGAACCTTGTTCCTGCTACCCTGCCCTAGGAGAGGTTTGTTATTTAGAATGAAAACCCCAGTGATCATGCTTAGACTAAATCCAAAACCCCCTCCTCAAAGTTATCAAACAAAGCAACTCTCTTCTAGTACATTAACAGTCTGAATGGGTGTTATATGCATGGTGTGTGCATCACAATGTCATGTTTTAATTATAAACAAAGCAAGATGAAGTTTCCTGGTCAGGAAGAATGAGATGTGCATGTAAGAAGCTGTCTCCCAAGGCTTAAATCTTAAAGACATTTGCAAAATATTTCTCTTGAAAGAAACTCTTAGGAGCAATATTTTTAGACATGTAGGTTTCTCCATAGGTAGAAGAGAAACCTACCACCAACCCTTAGTTTAAGGAACCTTTCTGGTGATGCTACTCTGCATTTCAAAAAGCTGCTTTTGCCTCTTAATGTTGGTGGCTGGAGACATTTGCATTTGGGGGGATGGTGGTGTGTGTTTTTCCCCATCCCTCTGCTGCTATCTGGGCTTCTCTTTTTAAAAAGGGGGAAAAAAAGGAAAAAGAAAGATGACAGTCTTTAGTATCATTTAGAGGAGTGAAAGATTTCGGGACATGGACAACATTGGTTCAGTTTTCACCATCTGCCATCCATGACAGTTTATTTCAATCATACATTTGCTTAAATTGTCATCTGGTGAAGGACCCCTCCATCCAATGCATACACGCCTCCCCTTTCCCTTCCCTACACCCGCCAACTGCTACTCTCACCACCTCTTCACTCTTCAGTTCAATAAAAAACTGAAATCTCAATGATGGACCTGGAAACCTGTGAAGGGTGGGAAGGGGCAGTCATCAATCCTGACAGAGAAAGAAGTGAAAACTCACACACACACACACACACACACACACACACACACACACACACACACACACACACACAGGGAAAGCAAGCATTACACAAAAGGGCAATCCAAGAGGAGGCAGCTTTTCTGTCCTGGGTTAACAAATTATCCCCATCTCATTAATGTGCAAACACAGGATCAAATAATGATATTCTCCCACCCACCCACCCCCGCACCCCAGCACTGCTGTATCACGTCTGCCCCTAAAGTCTCTTGCTACAAGTCATTACCCTGTAGGCATTCTCTTAATGTAGGATTTTCTCATCTTTCCCCATAGAAACTAGGAATGTGCTATCGCTGCTTGGGAGCCTAAGCTTGCTGCAGTCTTAGCAATGTGCTCCAGAAGCACAGCTCTCAGCTCAGAACGTTGGGGTTCTGTCTTCTTCCCCTCATCCAGACCACAGAGAGCAGGAGCTGAGGGGCTCTCTTTAGCCACAGAAGGGTATGAGAAAGGGCACCAATGCTACTAAGTCTGGTCAATCAAAGACATAGAATTATGAACAAGTGCCATTAGGGGGTGAGATTTTGAGTTAATTTGAAAGACAGTTATATTAAGTGCAAAAATGTTTCTTGTTCTTAGGACAAACTGCGGGGCACTGCCTTTTCAAAGCCATTTGCAGTGGTCTCTGCCTTAAAGGCTGAGCAGCGATGCCCAATCCCCAGTCGTCTCACCTGCCTTAAGGTGGTTAGGTTGCACTGCCCCCACCTCAGTAATACACAGGATCTTGCTGGGTGTTTTTTTTTCAATTCTCACTCATGTGGGCAAAATTAATCTGAAATATTAAACTGATAAGCTTTGTTTGCCCTTCTTAATATTTCAAATTGTACTTCACTACTTTGCTCCTGGATTTCTAGATTTTCCCTCTGGCTACTGGAGAACCTCCCCCCTTAATCCCCCCCTCCACCCCCCACCCCCCAACCAGGAAATTTTAACTGTCGCCTCTCTTGTAACACAGTTAACAATTCATTTAGGTTACACCAGTCTGTAAAAACTGTAAATGCTATTTTATTTTAAACATTTTAGTTTACAAAAAAAAATCAATGATTGGTACCTTTTTACACTCTCAGATTCCTGAATATGGACAGATCTTCAAAGGGAGGAAGGAGTTCTCATATGAAATTTAAGATAGACTGTCCTGAAGGTTGTGGGGTGGGGTTTTGTGATGTTTTATTTCGTTTTTTTTTGTTGTTTGTTTTTAAGACACAATAAAGCTAAAATGTCAAGTCTCTGGGAGAGATCCCCTTAAAGTTTCAGTCAAGGAGCATTTCAGAGCACAGACAAGAAGACCCCAGCCTGGTGCCTGCCGGCCCGTCCCGGCTGCCCAGGCATATTTGGTAGCGCATGGGTTGAAAGCCACTGGGACAATCACACCTCGCATTCCCTTGCGGGTTGCTGGTGGCAGGTACACGAGCCATACTCGTTGATGATCACCAGGGCTCCCTCAATGTGGTTCGGTTTGTAGTCAACGTAGTATTCCTGGGCAGACATGGCAGCCATCTGATGCATGGTCTGTTTCTGCTTTTGCTTTCTGCGCTGCGTGACAAAGCACTGTCTGAGCTGCCTGAGGCTGGCTGGGAAACACTTCCAGGACACGTACAGCACCAGGACCACGATGAGGAAGGAGAAGATGAGTGCCATGGTGCCTGTGACCACCTTGTGGATTTGCACGGCATTCTCGGCGTGCTCGCCGGGGAGAGCCACGGTGGCAGGCTCGAGAGTGCCGTCGTCCTGCCCCTCCCCGCCGTCTGACAGCGTGGTGGCCGAGCTGGCAGGGGGCCCCAGGTCACTGCGGTTGGTGACAGCGGAGAGCAGGTGGCCGCTTGTGGGCTCGGCCCCATCCTCGCACAGGTGGAAGGCGTAAACAGCGTCCAGGACGTCCTCGCCCTGTGCGTACTCCGGGCTGGCGCACTGCAAGTTGCCATCGTAGCGTCCCTGGAAGTTGTTGAGCCACGAGGCCAGGGCACACACGTTGCGCCCGCAGTCCCACAGGTTCCCGGCCAGGGTGATGCTCGTCAGAGACTTCCATGAGTTGAGAATCCGGGGTTCGATATAGGTGAGGCGGTTGGAGTCCAGCTGCAGGGACTGCAGGTGCGGCACGGTCTCGAACACATGGGGCTCCATGTACTCGATCTCGTTGCCGGACAAGTCCATTTTCTCCAGGTTCCAAACCCAGTCCAGTGAGCTGACCACAATGGCCACCTTGTTCCTCCGCAGACATAGCGAGTGCAGGGAGATGAGGCGCGGGAAGTGGGCGAAGTTCACCTTGACCAAGTCGTTGTGCTCCAGGTGTAGCTCGGTGAGCTTGAACAAGCCGGCGAAAGAGTTGCGCGCCAGACTCTTGAGCTGATTGTATCCTATGTCGAGAAACTTGAGGCTGCGGCAGTCCTGGAAGATGCGCACCGGCACAAACTGGATGGCGTTGGCCCGCATGTGCAGCGTGGTGAGCTTCCGCAGCCCGTGGAAGAGGTCGGGCGCGAGCGCCTGCAGCTTGTTGTAGGAGAGGTCCACGCTGCGCAGGTTGGGCATGGGCCGGAAGGTGGTGTTGGCCAGTTGGGTGATCTGGTTGGAACTCAGCGTGAGTTCCTTAACTCGGCGCAGTTTCTGAAAGGCGTCCCCCTGCACCGAGCAGATGTGATTGTGATCCAGATAGAGCCACGTGAGCTGCATTAACCCCGTGAACTGGCCGGCGCGCAGCTCCGAGAGGCTGTTGTAGCGCAGGGACAAGCCCAGCAGGCCGGACAGGTTGTGGGGCGCCTCGGTGAGGTTGAGCGCCTCGCAGTACAGCAGCCGCCCCTCGCACCGGCACAGCTGCGGGCACCCGCTGGGGGCGGCGGGCAGCATCTGAAAGCAGGCCCCCAGCAGACACAAGACCACCCCCGAGGGCCTCCTCAGCAGCCAGTATAGACAGAGACCGAGCAGCAGGAAATCCATTAGCGAGAATCTTTCCAGAGAGACTGGAGAATGTCCATTGGAAGCGCTCGGTCAGAAATCTACATCATATTTTATTCCGAGGGAGGGGGAGCGGGGGGAGAGGGAGAAAAGGGCAAAAAAATCAAATAAATATATAGAAATAAAGAAGGACCCCCCCTCCCCAAAACCACACGTTCACCTCTAAGCATGCAGAAAGCTGGGCAGCATAGAAAGTTCACAGCCACGGAAAGATCAAAGAGATGGTGATTTGGTCCATGTTAGATGCTGCAGCAAAGAAAAGGGAGGAAAAAAAAAAATCTTCGGGAAAGAATTTAATTAAAAAGTGTCTTACCCACCCTTTTCCAGAGAGTGACAACCTCCATTCAGCTGCTCCCTTTGTGTGCAGGCTAATTATATGCAGGGCGAGAGAAGACCCCTCTGTGTTTCCGAGGCACCCCCGGTCCGCGGCCGGCGGATCTGGCAGGCGCACAATGTCTCACTTTGCTGCTGCTCGGCTCGGGGCTGCAAGGGCGGCCGGCGAGGCGGGGAGGCGACTTCTAGGACCCGCAAGTTTCCCAACTACGTGCCGGAGCCCGGGCTTCGCCTTCCTGCCGCCGTCCTTTCCCTCTGCAGTTCGGACTGTGACGTTGTGGGGGAAAAAAACTCCAAACTCGGGGCTCGCGGCTCCCCAGGATTTGACAGTCTGGTTAATGTCCGTCATTGGAAACGACCACTGACCGGCGCCACCTTTTACTCCGCGGAGACCGCCTGCCCTTAGCGCCCGGGGCAGCTGCGGGGAGCGGGTTCGCTCATGCTTTGCGGCGGCGGCGGCGGCGGCGGGCGGCGGGGCGGTGCGGGCGGCGCGGGCGGCGGCGCGGGGAGCTGCGAGCGGCGCCCGGCTCCTTCCCTCCGCCAGGCAGTGTGCCGCGCGAGGTTGCACAGGCACCTACTGCTCACTGAGTGTCGTAAGCTGCTCACGATTGTGCGTCTTCCCCGAGCACCTCAGACATGGGCAGATTGAAAAGGGGTGGGCATAAAACCAACATTTTACCGAACCACTAAAGTAATATATGTTCTTTGATGCAACGGAAAACACTTTCAGCTTTTTTGTCCATATTTCGAAAAGCAGAAGAGGAGGGGTGGAGGTAGGGTAGCATCATCAACGACAAGATATCTCCAAGTGAGAAACTGAAATACCCTGCGCTCTCCCCCCACCCCTTCCCTTTTGAGGATATATATATATATATATATATATATATAATTTTCCCCCTTTAAAGCTGTCTACGTGTAAGAGATACGTAGGGATCTGTAGAGAAATCAGCATTTGGTCTTCAGCTTTAGGAAAGCAACTTGGGAGAGGACATGGGAAGGCAATGATTTGGGGCTTGGTTAAGATTCCCCCCACCCCTTTCAGGCACTGGAATTCTGCAGTCAGCCAGCCCTTTCTGCTGGTGGATGGGGAATTGCTTCCCAAACCCACCCGGTTGGGGGACAGCCCTCTTGGTGTGACATCTAGTGTGACAGAAAGGTATGTCTGTGCACAGGGAGATGGCTGAGATCCCGCTGGGGGGCTTCTCCAGTCTCCGTAGGTATCTGCGGGGTGCAGGGTGGATTAAAGAATGATTCTGCTGTCTGACATGGGAGGGCTAACCCTGACAAATGCTGTCTGTGGTGACTTGGGACCCTGCAGTGCACTCCAGGAGAATGTGCTGGAGTATGTGTAGAGAAAGAGCAGTTTAAACCATAACGAAGCCTACAGCCCTCCATACAACACGACCCTAATTAATCTTTGAGACTGTACTGAATTGTGCTGCTTTTCCTCTGAGTATGAAGAGAATCCGTTGCCTCCTTATTTCCATTCACACTTATTTGTAGATAAGAGTTCTTACATTGAGCTCTCCCTCTTGTTCCAATCGACCTGGAAAGGGTCTGCAGTGCTATTGTCAGGGACCTGTTGGTCATCTTTTGAAAAAAAAAATCATCAAAGATGGCTGAGAAACCTTGCTGAAGTGAGTGTGGGCAAGCCTGTTTTTTTTTTTTTTTTTCTTGAAAGATGCTCAAGGAGGTGGTGGTGGGGGGCAAATGTAAATCTCCAGTTTCTCTCTTTGAATTCCTACTATTTCTACCTCTAAGGAACTCAGAATAAGTAGGCATTATCTGTAGTTGTACCCACTTTGATAGGAATGCAGGAGGATTACCAGAGCTCCCAGGGCACATAGACTGGACAAGTAACTGGGTTGGTCCTTAGCATCCAAGCTCAAGAATCAAAGTCACCAAAGAGAGGTGGTACTTTTCAGGAAAAGTTATATGAACAGGGGCATGAATCATTCCATTTTGTATTCATCTGAGCTCTGCCCTGGTCATTCATCTCTGAGATGCATCATTTAATTGGAAGGAACACAAATCTGAAATGTCCTAGACATCACATGCTGTCTTGGGAGCTAAAAGAGACATTAGAAAATCAACCCCCTTAATTTTGCACATGACGAAACTGAGGCTGAGCAATGTCAGGGGATTATCCAAGGTCACATAGCTTGTGACTGGCACAGATGGTTTCTTTGCTGTCCCTCCTCAAAATGGTGCCCTTCCTTTGCCATTCTTGGTTGTCTCTCTGTCGCTCTTGCCTCCTTCCTGATTCTGAATTGGGCATTTGCAGGTTTCATCCTGGCACTTCCAAGGTTCTGCGGAACACTTTAACAGACAGACAAACAAATTCACCATCAAGTGTTTTCACCTCTTGCCAAGGCAATTATTCCTGACAGCAGGCCGGCTGATTGAGCCATAAACTCTAAAGGGTTGGGAGGTAGGGGGAGGGGTGTTGGGCAGGGACAGGCAGGGGTAATCATGGCCAGCCACTTAGCAAATACTGTGAGTATAAGCCACCCAATCCCCATGGCTGCTAGCAAGAAAACCCTCCTAATGCAGGCAGCTTGGCAAAGTGGTGACAGAGGCTGCCAAATGGGCAAGAAGAGGTCCCACTTTGGATGTCACTTGATTTGTAGAGCTGGTACAGAGAGGCAGAAGAGTTGAGTGTTGGCAAGAAAGAAAGAGAATAAAATTAAATTCACTGCATTTATATGTGAGTTTTCTAAGTGTGCTACTCAAAACTTAGAAGATGCTTCTAGGCTGAGAGGTGTATATGTGTGTGTGTGTGTGTGTGTGTGTGTGTGTGTACACACATACAATAATCTGTTGCTTTTCACATTATTATTCTGCAAATCATTTCATCTGAATGGTATCTTTAAACCTTTTCCACCTCTAATGTGGCAAGTTTGCATCTTTTCTACAGTTTTAAACCCTTTGGCAGAACCGTATACATTAACAGATTGAAATGAGCTTTATTGAAATTTAGCTATTCTAAGTCATCTAAGTTGCAGAATCCCAATTTATTATGTATTTAAAGCATACCAGCACTGATTAAATCAATGCAAATTAGGTTAAATAAGAACAACATGAATCAAGTGTTTCAGCAAAGTTAAGTCGAGAAACGACAACTTTTGAGTCACCACAGCAAGTTGATACGGCTGTTTTTCACGAGTTTTAATTTCATGCATCTAAGTGTCCAACCAACTAAAAAAGGAAAAAAAAAAAAAAAGAAGAGCTCACCTAAAGTTTTCTCTTCCTTCCTGTTTGTTCTCTCATATCTCTACCTGTCTTGCGAGAATATCTGATTCACCAGGTTATAACATGGCTATTGTGTATACTTGATCAATCTCTTCTTCTGGGCTAAACACAGATTTCTGTTGGCAAATGTCTTCTCCTTCAGTATTGGATATCTGATGAGAGATACTTTGCATGCTTTGAAAACACTCTTGGCATTTTCCATGCTTCTATGGGGAAGGAGCCTGAGCCCATCTAGCTGAACCACTATAATAGCAATTCTAGTAGTGGTGCATCAAGAATACCACTCCAAGCCATCATGCTAACATTTAATTGGGAACTGAGGCCAGACCCCTAATCTGGGGTAAGAAAGAATAAGAATGTTGAAAATGTTGATGTAGCAAATATGTGAAGGGAGTCTGGAGTGCGAGAGAGGTATGAATCTGATTGCTTAAACACAAGCTGGAACTAGGGAGGGTGGAAGAGAAGCTCATGGAGCAAGCTGGGCACTGTTAGAGAGCCCAGAAGGATATCATGGAAGAAGGAGAGTTGATTAATTTCTTCTCTCCTCAACTTATAAATTAGCCTTTGCCTCATACATTCTCTTGTTTTTTCTTGGTACTCCATCTTGTGACAGCAGTGGGGGGTGGGGGGACTCACATGCAATTTTTTTTTTTTTGGTATATTATTATCTCACCTGTTTCCTCTCAATGGAAGTCCACTCCCAACTTGTTCATTTTAGTCAAAATAATTTGCGAACAGAGAGATGCATGTACAAAAAGTCTGAAATGAACCTGCACTGTGGGGACTGGCTTTCCATTAGTAGTCTTTGTCCATGTTCAAGAAAAGAGAAATTCAAGTGGTGATTTTAATGTTCTGTCATCTCTAGCACCAACCTGGACCTTGATCTTTATGCTGTTGTCTTTAATTTTCAGTAGCAGTGAACCATGACTTTTCTTTAAAAGGGAACATTTGGAGGAATGGGGGAGGATGGGAGTCGCCATTTCAAAAGGAGAGAATTAACTCAGTTGTTTCTGTGGGTATGTACCATACAGCTGGCATTTTACAGAGTGCCTGGAAAAGATGCATGAGGAGCCTAAGGGCTCTAGGGCTTCTCTCAGGAGATCTACTTAGAAACAGATCAGAAAGGGGAGGTCATTCTACTTGTTGAACTTTATCCTTCTCTTAAAACAAGGCAGTGGTATGGATAGCAGCAAGAAAGCATCTGCCATGCTCAGTGAATGATGTGAGTCTTGGGAGTAAACCACAAGGCCTGCCCTGCTCTTCTGAGCCCCCCTGCACAGGTTTTCTCTGTATCGAAATATGCTCTGATCATAGCAGGTTGGGTGCACCTGTTGTATACTCTATCTATGCTTACCTGCATTCTAACGATCCTTTGAGGCTGATGTCAAATCTCCACTATGTTTCCTTAACTGACCCCCAGCCCTCTCCCCTGTATAAAGTGATCCCTCATTCTTCAGAACTCCATGAGCAGCTTATCTTTACTAAACTTGTGGTCCTGTTCACTTTCAATGGGTGTCTGGGTGTGCCAAATGAGATCTCTGCCTTTATCTGTTCTTGGTGCCTTGGAAACATGCTTCCTCCTCACACCCCTTTCCTCACTCTATCCTGCAGAGACAATTCCCACTTCATAAAGAGGGTTAGACTTTGGGGCCTTCAAGGTTCCTTCTGGGAGTTCCTGAGCATTTAATCGCTGCACCTTATTAAGTAGCTGGTCAGCCAAATTACTTTCACAAAGGTGTTAATGTCTGAAAATGGTTTAATTCGGTGTTAGTTAACATGCTCTGTGGGGGGTAAGTGTATTCAAATACATTTGCTAAGTGCTCAA